GAGCAACGCATGCGTCAGACGGCGCAGACAAATGACAGACAGCTTTCAGGCGCGTCACAGACACGCTCCAATGAAGACAAAACACGTGGAAAGGAACGGTTAGATATGCATGACAGCTCATGCGCGTGGGAAAGTACGTTCGAAACCTTGTTCTCCGAAGAGAACACGTCGGCTGGAAGTGGATTAATCTCGGCTTAACAGTTTTTGAGCCATTACTCAGAAAAGGAATATCGAAATATCGGTATAGGTTCCATCACCTCAGAATGCTGAGGTAATAGAACCTAGGGGGCAGTTGTGGGGATATATTTTCTGAATACCAACACGTGGCATGGTGACACTGACGTATCAGCCGAGGTGCCACGTGTCCTGGTCGTGACGCCGAGATGATCTCGGCAAGGCCGAGGTTAACTCCGAAGATATCGGAATCCGAGATAAACGAATAATGGACGAGAGTCCTAAGACGAAGAGGGGACTTAACCAAGATAAGGATAAAGCTCTTAGGGAGTTTATCTTTATCTCTTAAAGAGTCCAAAGAAAGCACTAAATTGGAGTTCATAGAAGTCATACTTCTAGTAGGACTTGGATTGAGTATATTATAAAAGAGAGGCACCCCCGTGGGTCTAAGGTATGCAATTTATGTTTTGAGTATTAAGTTTTGCACTTGATTATCTTTGAGAGATATACTGACTTGATCGTCGGAGTGCCCCCGGGTGGAAGAACCACCGCCGGAGCCTTTTCTTTCTGTTTCAGGTTGCTAAAGCCATCTATTCTGCCTGTGCTCTCCAGTTGATCACTAAGCAGACAGTGTGGTCAGATTTTCACCCACACAGGAAGTAAGTGAACAAATTTATTTTGTTGTTTTCCTAATCCATGGGGTTAGTTTTTCCATGTCCCAAAATAAGTAGAATTTTTAATATGTTCTGACATTCAAATCCTAACCCATGGAAAAGTATGCTCATCCACCCCATACATGGTGGTTAAGCTAATGTTTCTTTTCATATCCGTTTAAATGGTGTGGAAATTTATGATCAGAAGTTAAACAAATAAAAAAAGAAGAGAAAGTAAACTTTATTTTCTTATGTACATTTCATAAGGATATATATTTATATATTTTATTGAGAAAGTTGCAAGGAAATTGGAAGATGATACAAAAGCTGGCTACTTTGATTCCTGAGGTATAAGGTAAATTATAAATACGAGATTTTGCTTAAAATGCAAATTATTTTTTGTGATTTAGAAAATTATAAATATTTTCTTATCATCAATTTTTATTTGACATAATTAATTGAGAAAAAGAAATTCTTAACTACTCTCTTATACAGTGATTAAATTATCTAAATTATTAATTGAAATAAATTTTTGACATCATTGAAAACTGTTAATTGACTTGGTAATTTATTAATAAAAATAACAATTTATTATAAAATTAGAAATTTCAATGGGTAAAATGTAATTTTCAAACTCATAGGGGGGAAATTATATTTTAAACAAATCTCATAGAATGTATTTACAATTTATCTGTATATATATTTCTTAAAATCATATCTATCTTTTATTTTTTATATTATTCTATTATTCAATCAATATAATTTTTTTATAAATAATTTTTTAAATAAATTATACAAATGATTCAAATTATCAATTCTCCTAATTTAATCACAAAAAATATATAATATGTAAACTATATGGAGCCAATATGTGGAGCCCACATTCTTGTTCGTTTTTCTGTTTGAATTGTGTGTAGTTGGATGGAGAAAATTTTGTATGCGGATAGGGTATATGTCATCTAGTACTTTTTATAATTGTAATTGATTTTAATAATAATGTCCACTATATTTATATTAAGGGTTTAGAGAACAATAGTAGGTATATATATTTATGATTAATGAAAGGTAATATTACGTGGTATCCTATTGACATACAAAAATTTCTCCAAGTAAAATGTCCTACCAATCTACAAACAAAAAAAAAAGAGTCCCGCCAAAAAAAATGTACACACACAACTCTGTTCCCCTCCCTCACACTCACAACCCAATTTTTATAATTTAAAAAAAAAATTACTTTATCCTTTTTGTAAAATATATATTACTTTTATTATAAAATTTTAATTTTTATAAAATTAACACCACTGAAAAAGATATCAATGATACCTTTAAAATGAAACTAACATTAAATATATTTAATAAAAAATAATAACTCCATAAAACGTTTTAAAATATATATATGTTTAAAATACAAAGAAAATTGAAAACAAAATGTGTTTTTTCTTTTCATTTTTTAACCAAACTAGTTTTCAATTTTTTGAATAAAAAAATAAAAAAGAAATTTATGACTAAATCAAACTATGCCACAGTGCAAATGTTATTTTAAATTTGTTTTGTGGATAACTAGTTTTCATTTTTTTGATTTATTTGTAGATTTTAGATAGATTGTTCTATGCTAGACCGAAAAAGTTAAAACATTTCACAAAAAATTGAAAAATAAAATCACTAAAAACAAAAAAAAAAATGACTTTTTTGATTAGTTACCAAACAATGGGAAAGTGTAATTTAAGCCGCTTTTTCTTTCTTTCTTTTTATAAAAAGAATAAAATTCCAAAGTTCATCTATGACAATGTATTTTATCTGGGAGTAGTTTCATAATCTGAATGACATATTAAGAAGCTTCTTGATCTGAATGACATATTTTATCTAGCAGTAGTTTCATAATCTGAATGACATATCTAGTTACTATCGAATTTTCTTGATTCCCATCCAGATAAGAAGCTTCATAAATTTAGCTATTTTTATAACATGTCTCTTTAAAGTGAAAGTGGAATTCATCCTTTGTTTTTTCCTTTTTTTACTGCCAAAACTCTCTCTATCTCCGGGCCCTATTTTTGCCTAGTGCAGCTCGAGATTAGGCTTTCTCTAGCCTTTCTACCTCATGCCTCTCTTATGACCTTTTTTGTAAAAGTGTCCGCCGTGCCCTATTTCTTTTTTGATGATCCCTATGGTCTTTCCTTCTCCTTCCGGACAAGTACGACAGAGCCTTGGCATTTCAAATCTCATTGAATGGCTGTGGTTCTAGGACTCAAATGTGTCTGGAGTCGCCAAGTGAGACATTAGGTTCATGAACTGGAGACCTATCTCCACAGCAAGCTCCTCAATTTAACCTGGTCCATCACGCTTTGGACATCGCCACCAGGATAATTGAGACCCCACGAAGACGGCACTCTAAACCTAGCGGCCAACTCAAGGAAAGCTAAAGCTCATTGAAAATGAAAAAGGTGTTTGGTCAGCTTCAAGCTAGCTAGATCCGAGAACAAAGGGGACAGATAAATATAGTGTTAAAATGTTTTATTGTAGCAATGTTGCTCCAATAATAGAATGTAAAATTTTTCAAATTTCCTCACAAAATGTCAAGTCAAAATGTTATATGTGAGTCTCTGGAAGAAAAATATATATACAAAGATTTTAGCTATAAGTAAACTTTGTGTTATATTTTTCACAATATTTAATATTATAGCAAGCCATATCCCTTGTCAATGGAGTGAAAATTTAAAAGTTTAAAGCAAAATATAGCAATAGTAAACCATATAAGACACCATTCAAGAAGCTCTAAGTTATATATTATGCATTACCACCACTAGAAATTAATACAAGACCTGACTCCAAGCACAGGTACACATACACAATACAGTTTTTATGCAAGACCCAACAACAGGAAAGTGAAAAAAACCATGAGTAAGTGTAATTGAAGCTGCCTTTTCTTTCTGTCTTTTATAAAAAGGATAAAATTCCACAATTCATCTATGACGATGTATTTTATCTAGGAGTAGTTTCATAATCTGACATATTAAGAGCATCTCCATTAGTTGAATAGGTAAAAAGAGCTAGTTATTGCTAAATTTTAACAATGCATGGTGTTAAAATGTTTTATCGCAGCAATGTTGCTCCAATAATAGAATGTAAAAATTTTCAAATTTTCTCACAAAACGTCAAAATGTTATGTAAGTCTTTAGAAGAAAAATATAGATACAAAGATTTTAGCTATAAGTAAACTTTGTGTTATATTTGACACAATATTTACTTATAGATAATATATAGCAAGCCATATCCGTTGTCAATGGAGTGAAAATTTAAAAGTTTAATGCAAAATATAGCAATAGTAAACCATATAAGACACCATTCAAGAAGCTTAAAGTTGTACATTATGCATTACTAGAAATTAAGAATAGACCTAACTCCAAGCAAAGGTGCACATACGCACTACAGTTTTCCTGCCAATACCCAACAAAAGGCAAGCAAAACAAACCACGAGGAAAACATATGGGTCGCTCCACTGCCTGTATTGCCATTATTGCACACATACATGTACATATATATATATATATGTATGTATATTTTTAATTTATTTAATGATTCAACACGTAACTTAAGTTGAAGCACCAGATGTTTCAACCCAAAGAAAACATGATCAACAAGAACTAACATCACCTGACGTGCTCAAGTGAGTCTTTGGTTTGAAAAGCCATAAAGCTTCCCTGCAGATGCCAACCAACAAAATGGGAATTGATATGAAGAACAGCGCCAGAGCTCCATTCGGTATGATTGCATTTAATGAGAGCATATAACAACCAAATAGTGCCAAAATTAAGCTATGAGGCAATGGCTTTAGTGGGAATTCATGCAGGAGGTATGTAATAACACCCATTGATGCAATGAACACCAGGGAATTACACAAGATGATCAAGCTACGCATGATTGAATGTTGTTCATAGCCCTCTTTGGAAGTGCTGCCAAGGAAGTGAAAAGGTACTTGGAAGGTTGTTGCTGCGGTCAGTGCGGCTATCAGTAGCAAACCAGTTCTGAATCGAACAGAGGGCTCAACAATGCTTCTATTGGATGACCAATTGAGCAACCCTCTACGACTATAATCATCATTGGGCTCGATTATTTGTATGTTGGGCAACCCTGTAGGACTACAATTATCATTGTGCTTGATTTTTTCTTCTTTCAAATCCCTTGAGCCATTGGACAACCCTCTAGGACTACAATTATCATTTTGCTTGATTTTCTCTTCCGTCAGATCCCTTGAGCCGTTGGACAACCCTCTCTGACTATAATCACCAGTGTGCATGATTAAATCCCAGGTTATCATAGGTTTAGGTTCCGAACAGATCCCAAGAAAACTTAAATAAGATGGGTCATAAGAGATATCTACAGCCACAGAACCATCAGAGTTCAACGGAAGAAATACTCTCAAAGCCTGCAATTACATTCAAGTGTGAGTTCCTCAGTTTGTGAAAGCAGAGACTACAATATGAGAAACAACATGAAAATGATGCAAAGCATGGAGTAAGGGGAAAGAATAAAAGAGTATGTCATGTTGACTGTGTCAGACATTGTCTTAAGATATCCGGTGTATGTACACGTAATATTTCATAAGGTTTTAATTTGTGAAGAGGCGTAAGGGCCCATAATTTATGTTGGGGATGAGGGAACAATTTTTTTTTTTTTTAATTGGCTTGAAATATAGACACGTGGTGCTCCAGAAGTATTGAATAATTTCCCTAACATATGTGTATGCTTGAAAAAGTAGTATTATTGAAGTATGTCACATTGACTATGTGGTGTTTTGGAAAGTTGGTTAAAAATTAATTTTTTAACTTTTAAGTTTATTTTGTTTTTTATGGGTAAAAAATATGAGAGATGATATGACCCAAAATAGATTAAAAAAAAAAACTAAAAGTTAACTTTTTATTTGCTTCCCAAAACACCCCTGTTGTACATTGTCTTAAGATATGTGTAGACTTCAAAAAGTAGTGTTATTGAAGTAATAAAAAAAAAAAGTCATTTTTAAAATTTTTTTTAATGATTTGGCAGTATTTTAAATACTTAAGGCAAATATTTCTCTCATATTTTTTTAATTATCCATCAATTATTTTATATGTATATTATTGGAATTTTTTCCTCATATTTTTTCTAATCATCCATCAATTATTTCATTTATATATCATTGGGTCTAAAAAGTGAGTTTTCAAAATAGACTTATATATCATTTTTCTACCTCCAATAAGATACTCTTATTTGTAATAATCGTTATCCACGTGTACCACATTGTTAATCTAAAATGTTTTGAGGGAATTATCACAAGAATAATTTTACACATACTAATAATCTTTCCAAAAATCTTATTAAAAATGCAAGATGCCAAATGTGATTGTTGTAAAAAAAAAAAACAATGACATTTAAACATTCAATGATATTTGGACGTGTATATTTTTAGTGTTTGAGACATAATATTGTGTCCTGATTGAATCCCTGTTGCTTTCTTGACCACAAACAATATTATAATTGGGGGAAGGATTAAGGAAAGACCATACAGCCACACCAACCAGAAGCTTGAAATCTTGAAGAATTCAATGGTGACCCAAAACTTTGGCACATTCTCTTTCATAGTAAAAGCATAACTGGCAAAGAAAGCAACCAGGCCAAGCAAGGGAAGTGCCCGGGAACAAAACGACCATTTCTTAATAATCGACCATAAGGGAAACAGTAGCCCAACCATACTCGCTGTGAATGCGACTGTCATAAACATGGCAGAGTAGAAAGCAACAGGGATTCAATCAGGACACAATATTATGTCTTGAACACTGAAAGGTTCATTTTTAGAGTAAGAGTGGTTGTATGGTCTTTCTTCAATCCTTCCCCCAATAGTGTAGAACAAGAACAACAGCAGCAGTCTGTTGTGAGGAGCAAGAAGGGTGAAGATGAAGCTGATGTGGAGGGCCACGTTGGAGGTGTGCTGGACAGTAGAGGTGTGGCGGAGGAAGGGGGGTCGATGGTAAAACATGATGACCATATAGCTACTAATGGTCGAGATAGAGTGCTAAGTGTGTCTAGGGTGGAGGAGACTATCATGTCTACACATCAGTTAGACTGTTTGCAGAAGCAACTTGGAGGTGAAGGCAAATGTCACGATCCAAACTACGCATGATCGAATTCATGAGGCAACGGCTTTAGGGGGAATTCATGCAGGAGGTATGTAATAACACCCACTGATGCAATGAACACCAGGGAATGGCTTTAGTGGGAATTCATGCAGGAGGTATGTAATAACACCCATTGATGCAATGAACACCAGGGAATTACACAAGATGATCAAGCTACGCATGATTGAATGTTGTTCATAGCCCTCTTTGGAAGTGCTGCCAAGGAAGTGAAAAGGTACTTGGAAGGTTGTTGCTGCGGTCAGTGCGGCTATCAGTAGCAAACCAGTTCTGAATCGAACAGAGGGCTCAACAATGCTTCTATTGGATGACCAATTGAGCAACCCTCTACGACTATAATCATCATTGGGATCGATTATTTGTATGTTGGGCAACCCTGTAGGACTACAATTATCATTGTGCTTGATTTTTTCTTCTTTCAAATCCCTTGAGCCATTGGACAACCCTCTAGGACTATAATTATCATTTTGCTTGATTTTCTCTTCCGTCAGATCCCTTGAGCCGTTGGACAACCCTCTCTGACTATAATCACTAGTGTGCTTGATTAAATCCCAGGTTATCATAGGTTTAGGTTCCCAACAAATCTCAAGAAAACTTAAATAAGATGGGTCATAAGAGATATCTATAGCCACAGAACCATCAGAGTTCAACGGAAGAAATACTCTCAAAGCCTGCAATTACATTCAAGTGTGAGTTCCTCAGTTTCTGAAAGCAGAGACTACAATATGAGAAACAACATGAAAATGATGCAAAGCATAGCAAATAGGCGGACTGTCTAATTTGTTTTCAATTTTTCCACTGTTTCTAAGAGTGTTTAATTTGACAAAAAAAAATGTTTTTATTAGAAACAATTTTTTTTCATGTTTTACAAGTAAAACTTTATCAATCTTATTAATTTCTGGTGCTTGGCTGATATACCTTAAAACAAATTCGGGGGGGTCCTCTCAAAAAAAAAAAAAAAAAAAAAAATCAAAGAGAACTTCCCGAAAACCTCTAAAGTCAGAAAACATTTTATTTCAATTCAAAAGTCTTGTAAATTCAAGGGGCAATTTTTCATAAATACATTTTTACCTACGTATGTTCCATTTAGTTCATATTATTTTCTTATATTCTAACAAGTCATATGACTGACATAGTTACCAAAATACCCCTAATAATATTCACATTTACAGTGTGAATATTCCGTGATGTGAATGTTCGCACTGTCAATGTGAATGTTCACATCGTCAATGTGAATGTTCACATCGTCAATGTGAATATTAACATGTTAATGTGAATGTTAATACTACCAATGTGAACATTCACACGTCAATGCGAATATTCATATTGTAAAATATAAATGTTCACATCACCAAATTGTTAACCGTTCAAAAAATATTTGTAAGGATAGAAATGTCCATAAAATACTTCAAATATGAGAATTAGTACCAATGTCAACATTCACACGTCAATGCGAATATTCATATTGTAAAATATAAATATTCATATCACCAAATTGTTAACCGTTCAAAAAATATTTGTAAGGATAGAAATGTCCATAAAATACTTCAAATATGAGAATTAGAATTCGGTAAATCAAATATTCAAATAATAGGACTTATTAAAATACAAGATTATCTTACGAATTTATGGATTAATTGGGATAAAACACTTGAAAAAGGATTTTCTAATAAATCTCCCTAAATTCAATCCTATTAACCCAAAAAAAAAAATAAATAAATAAAAGAGAGAGAGAAGAAAATTCTACTCCACACAACAAAATCATAGTAGCTGTGTCATTGACACATTTTATGGAATACTTGATGGACAAGAAAAATATAAGTCATGCTTGCACCTTCCAATTGTACTGAAGCTGGAGAAAATAAGAACACCACAAACGGCAGCAAACTAATAAAATTTTGAAGGAAATTTTGATGAAAGAGGGAATCGATGCATAGGGTCCAGTGAGTGTGTGAGATTAAGTAAGAGATTTGATGAAATGTTCTCAAAAAGACCAAGATCCAATTTTGGATTTTGGTGAAAAAAATTTCAAGTCATTTCTGTGCAGAACAGAGAGAGTGTTCATTGAGTAAGTGAGTGTATTCATTGATTTTCTGGCGAAAATGGCCACCACAATGGCTTTAGGGGGAGGAAATAAGGGTTGTTGGTCTTTGAATATGCAGATCTCTGAGTAATTATAATAATCAGATTTGTTACATCTACTTTGCCGTTCTCCGCAGCAATATGGAGAGCCGTCTTCCCAAACCCGTCCTTCTCAAAACACAATATCCTATTCTCTATAATCAACTCCTCCACCATTTCCAAATCCCCCATCTTGCAAGCCAGGAGCAAATTGGCGAATTTATAGTTCCATATCAAAAGCCCATTCAATTCCTTTTCACAATAATTTGCAGGTTCATCGGTTGTTTGTGCGTAGCCATTCTGAGATTTAAACAAGCAAACATGAGTCCAAGAGAAGAGAAATAGTTATCTGGAGAATTTTTTTTTAAAAAAAAAATTTAATTTTATATTGTATACGATAATGAATTAAATACCTGGAGTAATTCCAGAATAGTTATTCCTCTATAACCTTTGGAAGCAAATACCTGGAGTAATTCCAGAACAGTTATTCCTCTATAATCTTTGAAAGCAAATACATGGAGTAAGTCGGGCCTTTCTCCAGTGACCCACTTTAACAGGTGGATAAGAACGTCGATCTGGTTAGGCTTGACAGCCACGTGAAGACAAGCCTCCATTATTGTTGCAGTGACCCCAGGCTCATTGTAATATCTGAGAATCAGATGTATTACACCTACTTTGCGATTCACCGCAAAAAATATGGAGATCTGTCTTCCCAGAGCAGTTCTCTGTCAAACACAATTTCCTGTTCCTTCGAATCAACCTCTCCACCAATTGCAAATCGCCCTTCTTGCAAGCCAGGCGCAAATCACTTATAAGTGACGCTTGATTAATCGTTTGCCAGTACTCAAACTCAAACATTGGAGGCCAGTTCAAAACCACCACCATTCCGAATTCGCAATAACTTGCATCTTCGTCCATCTTCGTTTCGTCTGGCCAAACCCTAATGTTGTGTTTGGTTGGAGGATTTAGGGAGGGATTTGAAGGATGCTACTGCTGGTGGAGATCTTGGTGAGGGGGAGCCGCACCCTCCAGTTCGTACAGTTCGTGGTCAGCTTCAGTTCCTCAAGCGCTCTGTAGGGGTCCAGGGGGGAACATTTCTTGACTGGTCCGAGGCAGTACCCAGGCGGGGTCGAGGGGCAGCGCCGCCGAAGCTAGAAGCAAAATTGCAGTCGATGTTGTTTATCCGCTCGAGCGGCCATCCTTGCGCTCAAGCGGAGATCATGACCTTTCAGAAGTTTCACTCGCCTGCAAAAGTACTGGGAGTTGTATTTTTCCGCTCTTGAGCAGCCATTCCTGCACTCGAGCAGAGATCGCGACCTTTAAGAAGTTTCACTCTCCTGCAAAAGTGCTGTGAGTTGTATTCTTCCGCTCGAGCGAAGATCACGGATCTGTTTGCTATAAAAGGTGCAGTTCAGTCAGATTTTAGGGTACGGCTTCCAGATTTTCTTATTGGATTTTTGTGTTTTCTTCTGGAGCTTCTTTGCTTGTTTTCTTTGATATCTGTGAGAGTTTATATTATGAATTGAGTGGATTATATCAAAGGGTTTGGTTTGTTTTATTCACAAAAGAGAAAGTAGTTTTTTGTTGGATTTCAGAGAATTTGGCCCTGAAGCTTTGGTGAATTTTGGAGTGGCTCATTGTCGTGATTCGACATCGGCGTTGTGGATTCAGCGTTGGGCAAGACAATTATGAGGTGAAGACGGGGCAAGAAGAGACACATAGGGGTCGGTTCGATTCGGGCGTAGATTCGCTAGGTAATTGAGAGTACACTTGTGTAATTCCGTTATGTCTTCTTAGTGGATTGTTTTGTAGCTTTTGCCCGTGATTTTTTTATCATAATTGGAGGCGCTCCAATTGTGGTTTTTCCACGTAAAATCGTTGTGTTGATTTGTTTTTTATTGTTTGATTGGGATTGCTATTTACTAGTTAAAATTGATACATAATCACAAATCAATATCTAGGGGATTTTTAAAATTTTCAGTTCTGTCTGCAACTGTATTGTTCTCTTGATTGCTGCCTTCTATGGCATTCGGATGATCCAATGGTTCGAGTGGAACCTGAATCACGTTTAACTACATTGGACGAGCTTAAAAGATTTAACTCCAAATTGGCAATAGAATCAAGGTATAGTACATTATTGTTAAGATTTTCTATTGTTAATTAGGCTTTTTACACTTTTATCAAAATTTCAATTTAATATTTTTACTTTCAACTTTGAGAATCAAACTTTTACATTATGTTAAGTTGCAATATCATTTTTTATTCATTTGTCATTAATGAGGTTGATTAAAATTCATGAGCTCAAAGGATATTTTTCCAAAGAAACAATATTAAAAGTAGAACAATTAAAAATATATTATTCGAATAAAATATAATAGAAATAAAGGTATAATAATAAATTTAATTTTTAAATAATATATTACATCTCTCTTTTCAAAATTAATGGGACTAATTAATCTATAAGAAAACTCTTAGGACTAATCGGGTCACCATTCTTCAAGATAAAATTTATAGGTAAATTTTTCGTTAAATTTTGTCATTAAAAATATAACAATCCTAAATTTTTATCTTTAAAACTTTAATTTAATATGGACGGAAATGTGATAATCGAAAACAGAGTAATCAAATAATATTTTTATAAAAATATGAGGTGCTAACTGCTAAATGTGATTAACTGATTTTCTATTTGTATGTGCTAATTAGCAATAGGAAGATTGAGAGAAAGCATAGAGAACGAGAGTTAAACCCTTTTTTTTTTTTTTTGGATCAGCTGAACTAGAACATATTAGATAACTTTTTGAATCGTACATAGTCACAGTTTATGCTTCTAGCAAACTCATAGTAAATTCTGCCAGTTTCTTTTCTCGATCCAAATGTGTTTTTTTGGGACAAATTTAAGAGAATAATTACCCAAAATTTTAAAAGAAAGAAAAAAATTTGTGCTTGTACAAAAATCTCAATAAATTTAAAGTTAATTGCATCAAGTCTTTTTTTTTTATTTTAAAAAAAAAAAATCGTGACGCCGAGGGGTTGGTTGTATGGATGCGAGTAGCAGTAGTAGGGGTAATTTGTACTTTCTGAATCTCTCTCGATGCATGCCATCTTCCTGTACCTTTAATTTCATGTTGTTAATGAAATTTTTACTTTGCCGATCAAAAAAAAGCTAGCATATAAACCCGTGCGATGCACGGGCTAAATAAACAATTAAAAATAATTTTAAAATTAAATAATAATATAAAATTTATTTAAAAAGTATAAATAATAATTTAGAATGAATTAAATTTTAACTATTGTATTAGAATATATATTTTTTATGTTCATAATAAGAAATAGATATCATAATTTAATTGGTAAATATGAAAAAAAAAGAAGAATAAATTAAAAAATATATATATTTATGATAAAATAAAATTATTTTTTATTTTTATTTTTATGGCGCCGGAGGTGGAGGGTGGCTGGAATAAGTAGGGGCAGGGTTGGGATTATGTGGGATGTCGGAACAATTTTTATCACAATTCAAATTTTGACATGGGGTGTCCCAAGAAAAGAAGTGCTCACATGGGATGCATTTAGAGCCACCCCTTAATTATATTATTTTATTCTTTAATTATGATATTATTTTAGTTATGACTTGTGATATCTTTGGTTATATTTCATGTGGTGTTTGGTTATGATTTTTTTTATTATTATTATTTATAATTATGACTCAAAAAATATAAAGTTATACCATATTTTTCTTTAATTATAAAATGTATATAATACACATTGTTTGAGAGGTGTGTATCATAATCTTTTCCAAACAAAATTTATTTGTTATAAGAAATAAGTAAAAAAACTAAGTCATATTTTTCTAATAAAAATATGGGTAAATTATGCAAATGGTCCCTGTAGTTTTTTTTTTTTTTTTGTCATTTTGGTCTCTGTTATTTCAATTTACTCAATTTTGCCCCTTAATTTTACGACTGTGTCATATTAATCCAATAAATAATGGCGGTTAAGTTTAATAGACGGAAAATCAAATGATGTGTCACTTTGGTCCCTGTAGTTTACAGGATATGTTAATTTGGTCTCTTATAGGAAAATCAAAACAACATGGACCAAATTGACACATCCTGTAAACTACAGGGAGCAAATTGACACATCATTTGATTTTCCATCCATCAAACTTAACCACCATTATTTGTTGTACTAATATGAAACAATCCGTAATATTAATAGACAAAATAGATCAAATTGAAACAACATGGACCAAAATTATCAAAAGGGTAAACTAGAGGGGCTACCGCTGTAATTTACCCTAAAAATTTTCATTTAAAAATTAGCAGGAAGATTAACTTGAGTCATGATAGGACTTCAATAAAAATTTCATTTGAGCCACTTTTAATGAAGTGTAAATTACATTGACACCTCTAGAGGTTTGTCTTTAATACAAGTGCCCTCTTACGTTATGAAAATTACGTTCTGAACTACACTTCTAACTGTCAAACCGCTCCTCCATGATCGCTGATCATGTTGTCTTATAGTTAGCTCCACTATGCCAATACCTGCAGTTAGGCTTCCCTTCTGATTTTGAATTTAAATATGAGTAACCGTTGAAGTCACATCACTTTGCATCTCTTTGCTGATCCAGTACTACACAGATCTTATGAAAACCAATACTAACTACCACGTGTACGATCACGATCGAAAGTTTGAATTGTCTTCCCGTATTACCCTCAACCTGCCACGTGTTGAACTGTGATTGGCTTTATACAAAATATATAGCCAACATTACCCCCCACACTAATATAACCAATACTTGGTGATATTAGTGGATCAAGGTATTTTTCCACGCCTTAGAACGTGCACGGGCTTTGCATTTTTAGAAACACAACCGTCATTCATTGATGAACATTTGCATTAACTCCTCTTTGATCCCTTAAACAAGCTCACTATCTCAGTATTCGAAAAGTCCAATTCAGTTCTCATGGATAAACAGACATTTTCGTATCTCGATCAAGCATATGAAGAGTTGTTTGATAATATCGTTCGTCCTTGAAAGAATCTTCATGCATTGATTAGCCACCTTTACCCACCTTCCTATATTCAAGCCATGAGAACTTTTGAAAATTATTAACCTTTGGATTACGAACACACTATCCACAATCTTTTGATTCAGAAATTTGCAAATATGGACGTGGGAAGTTCTTCCTCTGACCCAAAGCCTTCTGGATGGGATGAAGCTGTAACTTCCTCCTCTTCTAGGACATCTGGTTGGGGAAGTTGGCTGGAATTAAAAGAGCGAGTCAACCATCATTTTGTCGAGTTCATTGACCCTCTAGAATTCCCTTCCGATGCTTGGAGTTCGGTGGTTTATCCCTACGTGCCCATTGACCGCTGAGGTTGTTTGGAAGACAACCTACTCGTAGCATGTTACACATCTTCCACGCCTACGAAAATAGTACACGCCACTCCTCACTCGGAAGAGGCACAAGGGTATAACCCTGCATTCTTGGCTCAGAAGGCTAAACTTTTCTCTTCTGACTAGCTTGACATCGTCAATAGCCCCCGATTTCCTCTTACTTTCGAGATGGAAACTCCTGCACCTCTTCTTCCACATGACCCTCACTGGATGGAGGAATTGAGGCATACTCTCTCTGAGGACCAATTTCTCCCTTCCTATCACCCTCCATCTCCTCCTACTAAAGATCAGCGAAAGCAAGCCCAACTTCTGCTTGCGGCATTTTCCCATTTGCCCTTCAATGTTCTTGAGGACAATGTTCCTCTCAAGAACTTTCGATGGGCTTGTGACATTATGACCCGGGGTCATATTCTCAACCCCATCGCCCAAGTAGAACTTCAAATGTTCTTGGACCAACTCTCCCTACTCCTTCATTGGCATCACAATTCTGTCGCCACTGCTCAGTTCTTGGACCAAATCTCAGCCAATCGAGTTCATGCCGGTATCAAGCGGAGAACCTCATTGATGAATACGATG